GCCAGCTAAAAAGGCATAGTGACTTAAAATTAAACACCAGTCTATCAAATACAGGCATAACATGGTATTTACAGCAGCTTAACAATCCTTGAAATAATGTCATCCTAATTTTCCCCACAGTAGAAATAGACTAGGCCCCCAAATAAAATATAATTCTGAATCCCACAAACTAATGAGCAGCACCAATCTACAGTGCAGCAATAAGAATAGAAGGACAAACATTAAAAAAACACTAGGAAATGAAATGTAATCTGAAAATGCCAAAGTACTATAAACAATGAGACAACGAAACAATGTTTTATGTTTCTCTCCATCTGCAGTGTCTTCACTGAGGACTCTTTTCCTTTCAAGGGTCTTCGGTAGAGGTCTCTATTCCCATCAATCAACTTTTTTGTCACTCACACATTCCCTGAAAATCCTGACCCTTAAATGACAGTTTCGCTTGCCATGCCATATTTTAGGACATTTCAAAATCCAGTTGGACTAACTGAGCCAGCACCTTTGTCCCATAATTCACTATCAAATCCAAAGAACTCCACCTACATTCAACTTCAGCAACTAATAATTCCTATGGCCACACTCTAGATCAGGTGTGGATATCACAATCCCCTGGAAGACTTGTTAAAACATTGACTGACCAACCCCCAGACTTTCTGGTTCAGAAGGTATGGGATAGAGCCCAACAACTTGCAGTTCTAATTAAAGGTTTCAGGTGATACTCCTGATCCTGACATCAACATTAAGAGCCACAGGTCTAGATCTTCATTAGCCAGAAATGGTTAACATTCAAAGCATCCTAACTCAGTCCTTCTCCAGCTCAACCTTTTGTTGTTTTAGACCTCACTCCCAATATACTTGTTATTCATAGACCTGTTCAAAAGTACATCTACTTGTTTTGGGTGGACAATTCCTTACATTCTGTTTATCTCCTATTCTAAATGATGACCACTTTCCTCAAGGCTACTACTCACCCTTCACCATGAACAAAATACCTCAACTCTTAACAGAGAAAATAGAAGTCAGATGGCAGGAACTACTTCACGTCCCCCTGATATGCCTTCACACTTTTCCATTTTAGTAACCAACTTCATATCTTTCCTTCTAGCCTGTTGTATAATGCATGAAAAAATACTCAGCTAGGCTCGGTGGCTCAGCCTGTAATCCCGTGCCTTTGGGAGGCTGAGGTAAGTGGATTGCCTGAGCCGGCAGGTTCGAGACCCGCTGGGGCAGCGAGACCTCATCTCCACAATAAATCAAAAAATCAACCAGGTGTGACAGCGCATGCCTGTAATTCCGGTTACTCGGAAGACTGAGGCGGAAGGATCACCGGAGCCCAGCAGGTTGAGGCTGCGGTGGCTGGAAGCGGCCACTGCATTCCAGTCTGTGTAACAGAGTGAGACTCCAACTCAAAAAAAAAGAAAAAATACTCACACCAAGATGCTTCACAGTAAAATTTCAGAATCTTAGGACAAAGAGAAAAGGTCTCCAAAGTGTGGGGTGTGAGGGAAGTTTCACATACAAAAGGTCAAAAATCAGAATGATACCAAGACTTCTCATAAGCAGCTCTGAACCCCGGAAAATAATAATTAATGACCTCCAAATTCTGAGGAAAAATTATTTCCAACCTAGAAGTCTAAGACATTTTCTAACATGCTGTATCTCTAAAAGATTACTTCCCTTGTATCACTTCTCAGGAAGATACTAGAATATGTGCTCCACCAAAAACAAGAGAATAAACCAAGAAAAAGAGAAATATGGTATCCGAGAAACAGGGGATTCAACCCAGGAGAAAGTGACAGGAATCCCCAGGATGGCAGCTGTTCAGAATGCCTGGAGAGCAATCAGTCCAGGCTGGAGCCAAAGAACAGAGCGTTCTAGAGAGATAGCTCCAAGAAAAACAAACAAAAAACCAACTGATTACTCAAATACACTGGGAAGATTTTTTTTTTTACTTCTAGAGAATAGACTAGAATAAATAAAATTATTAAAGCATAGAAAAATAAGCAAAAAAAGGGACAACTATTAACTCAGGGAAAGCAAACAAAAATATACAGCAAACGAAAAGTATGCATAATTCCCTATAGGCTTAGCTATATATAATAATATAATATAATATGTTATGATATACTAAAATACATAGTCATAATAATAAAAGCACTGAATACTGATGTAACCAAAACCTGTAGTATATCCATACTAGGAAGACAAGAAAAAAGAGGTGCATGATTGTGTATATGGAATGGAAAGTATAAGAATACTAATCTTCTTCTTGGTGGGAATGCAAACTAGTACAACCTCTTTGGAAGACAATGTGGTGATTTCTGAAAGAACTAGAAAGTGACCTTCCATATGACCCAGCAAATCCCCTATCGGGAATAAACCCAGAGGAACTCAAATTATTCTACAAAAAAGATACCTGCACACGTATGCTTGTTGCAGCTCTATTCACAAAAGTAAAAACATAGAACGAACCATGCTCCTATTGAAGCTGGACTGGATAAAAAAATGTGGTACATATATGCAATGGAATGCTATACAGCCATAAAGAAGGGCAAACATATGGACTTTGCAGCAACTTGGATAGATTTGGAGTCGATCATACTCAGTGATCTATCACAGAAACAAAGAACAGAGTACTATATGTTCTGACTCATAAGTGTAATTTGAACAATTATAATACTATAAGAAAGAGATTGGCAGTAGTGGGAAACTGTCAGAGGAGTGAGGGTGGGATTAACAGTTGAGGGAAATTACTAGGGCAGGGAGGGACACACCTCATCAACAAAGGTACCTGCATAATCAATGTTTGTATACCTAACCCTGAATTGTACCCCACATCTTTATTTAAAAAAAAGGATACTAATCTTTTTCTTTCATAGAGAAAGTTAACAGGTAATGTATAATATTAAAAACTCAAGAAACAGCAATATAAGTATTTCATTTAAAAATGTGGACTAAATATCAGAGGAATATACTAATGTTGGAAGTGTTTACATCTGAGAAACTGTGTTGGAACTAGAAAAGCAAATTTGTTATTCACTTTTTATTTTTATATTTTACATATTTATAGGTACATATGATGTTTTGTTACATATATAGACTATGATTATCAAGTCAGGGTATTTGAGGCATCCATCACTTTGAGTATTTATCATTTTTATGTACTGAGAACAATCCAAGTTTTTTCTTCTAGCTACCTTGAAATATACAATACATTGTTGTTAATTACAGTCAGTCTACTCTGCTACTGAACAACAGAACTTATTCCTTTAATCTTACTGCATGTTTGTACCTATTAACCTACCTCTCTTTATCTCCCCTCCCACTCCCCTACCCTTCCCAGTCTCAAGAATTTATCATTCTACAATTGCCTTTATGATATCAACTTTAGAAACGCTGATTTTAAAGATCATTTAAGCTTTATTTTCTCCTAGTGAAGCAAATAAAAACATTCCAGAGCCAAAAGAAGAGAAGTCAAGTCATATTCTGTAAAATAATAAAAGTGAGCAAGAACAAGTTCTAAAAAATATGTTACAGGGCCGGGCTCGGCGGCTCAGCCTGTAATCCCACGCCTTTGGGAGGCTGAGGTGAGTGGATTGCCTGAGCCTGCGGGCTCGAGACCCAAAAAAATCAACCGGGCTTGGTAGCGCGTGCCTGTAATTCCGGCTACTTGGAAGGCTGAGGTGGAAGGATCGCCAGAGCCCAGCAGGTCGAGGCTGCGGTGGCCGGGAGCGGCCACTGCACTCCAGCCTGGGCGACAGAGTGAGACTCCAACTCAAAAAAAAAAAAAAAAAAAAAGTTACAGGTATCATAAAATGGCAATGATTAAAAAACATGGACCTATGAAGAGACAAAACAAAATCAAAACAAAACCAAAAAAACCCACAAAAGTTCAGAAACAGGAACTCCCAGTCATAGGAGAGTCTACTCTATGATAAAGTTAGTATTGTAAACCGGTAGGGAAAAGACAGATTGTAAGACAAATGGTTGTGGGCCAAGTAGAAAATCACCTAAGGAGACAGGAAAAATAAATCCCTTCCTTAAACCAGTCCTTAAATTCTAGATGCAGACTTAAAAATCACAAATTAAACCATAAAGATAATAGAAGACATGGCAGACTTGTTTGATAATCTTAAAGTAGGGAAGGGCTTTTGAAGAAAATCCTAAAGCCCAGAGGTCTTAAAGGGAGAGACTGACCATTTTGCCACATAACAATGGCACTTTCTGTACAACCAAATAAACATCATAAATAACGTTAAAAGATAAACCAGAAAAGATTCTTGCCATGTATAACAGACATAACACAATTCAACTTTAAAATAAGAGCTATTACAAGTCAATAAGAAAAATATTGATAATATTGATAATTGAAAAATGAGTAAGGGTTTTAAACTGGCAGTGCACAGATTAAAAACCCCAAATGGATTATAAACATATAGGTTCAAACTTACAATTTAAAAAGGACTTATTATTCCTGCAGCCAAGCAAGCATCTACCCCTAACATTCTACTGACAGTGATCTAGCAAAAGTTACAAGTGACCCAGTTACAAAATCTCAGAATAAATAAATGTTCTTTAATAAAATATAATCATCTTGAAATGAAATAGAAAAAGTTTAAAAAACACTGTCAAAAATATTGATAAAGTTCTAAATATTAAGAATTTTTTGAAAAGCATATCACAAAACTGCATGTATGGTATACTTCCAATTGTGACATATATATGCACACACTCACATATATAAACAAAATAAATAACATAATACATAAAATATAAATACCAATCAAAAAAACCAAAAGCCCAGTCATCAAAATATTAAGGGTGGTTGTTATCAATAGGTCAAAATGGGTTAAAATTAAAAGTGATTTTATTTCTTTCCATAAGGTTTTCTGTATTTACCAAATGCTCTGTAATTAACTCCTAACAGTACTTTAAAAATCAGACATAGTTATGAGTGTCTATATACAATAAAGTCTCTTCATTCGGACTTTTATACTTACCGGGAACAATGAAAATAAGTAGCTTTGGCCTGTTGACACTTTGATCATTAAAGAGGTCAGTCCAGGGCCCACATTTTAGAACCTGGGTTTCAATTCCACCACACAAAATGAATTCCTCGTGGACAGGAATTTCTTCCTTGAGTTCTGAGTCCATTTCTAAATAAATGGAGAAAAGTATACGAAGAGTTAGCATAGTGTAAAACCCTGAGCCAAAGACAAGATTCAAGAATAAAAAAGGGCTAATCTCTTTTTTTTTCTTTTTAATGTAAAGATGTGGGATACAATTCAGGGTTAGGTATACAAACATTGATCATGAAGGTACCCCTGTTAATGAGGTATGCCCCTCCTGCCCTAGCAGTTTCCCCCAACTGCCAACCCCCCCCCACAACAATTTTCTATTACTGGCAATCGCTTTTCTTATAGCATTATAATTGTTCAAGGTCCTCTTATGAGTGAGAACATATGGGACTCTGTTCTTTGTTTCTGTGATAAATCACTGAGTATGATCGACTCCAGTATACTTAGAAGAAGATGTCACAAGGACGTATGGAAAATATAAGACTATTCAACTATTCTGGATTATAGGACTGCAAGGCAAATTAAACAAACCACAAGAGTAGTTAGAAACAGGGAGAAACATCTTTGACAAAATAAGACTACAGAGGAGTTTGAGTCAAAATCAGATTAGCCTTTCCTACAGCTCCCCTCTATAGTCTACATCAACAGTGACCACGAATAACTTCCACTTTCTCTCTGCTGTGATTATTCTCTTTTAGTTCTGTGCATTACCACTGAGACAGGTTCCCTTACTCTCAACTGGTGAAACCTGGGATAAAAGTACAGAGGTTATGGCTTGCCCTTGCGTTCTCGCCAGAACAGTAAGAGGGACAGTGAACTCCATATGGTCTCATATTTCCTTCTTCAATTACTCTTTTCCTGTCCCAAATTCTGTAAGCATATTTTTATGTATTATTAAAGCACTATATTATTAAATTATGAAATGGATAGGTGGGAAAAAAACCCAAGATAGGAGATAACGTCATGAATAATTTCCTGAATAATCTAGGTATGTGCAAAAATGTAGGCCCAGATTATTTCTATCACTTTTCCAGGTCTGCCTCTGCCTTCCTGGCTTATTGATTGCACCAAATCTCAAACCTTTATTGGTCTTTCTATCTTCCTCTTTCACTATATTCCACTCACTCAAAACCCTCCAAAGTCAAGACTCAACATGTATTTCAAGCTTTCTCTCCTCTTTATACTTTACAACAACCTCACACTCTAGTCTGTCTTGTCTTTGCATTTCCTTAGTGTCCCTATGCTTTTCTGCTCCCATAATTCTGCTCATATTTAATTTTCCAATCACTTCCAGAATGCTCCCACCCTCATGCAGTTATCAATTTATTGCCTCAAGCTCCAAATTCATCCTCCATCACCTGCTCTGGGAAAAAAAATCTGGGTCTTTAAAATATTTTTTCTTTGCCATGATGTTAATCTCTGTCAGTAGAATGCCCTAGAGAGATTCTGCAGGAGGAAGGTGTTTTCTCAGCAGGTTTCTGGAGAGTTTATGTTTCTCCTCCCCTTCATGGCTCTATTGCTATGAGATTTCTCTACTGCAGTGGTTTACAACTGGAGATGATCTGCCCCCAGGAGAGATATACCAATATCTGGAGCTATGTTCTGTTGTCACAACTTGGGGAACGACTGTCACAGAGTAATTAGAGGCCAAGAATGCTGCAAAACATCCTATAATACACAGAACAGCCCCCCACAACAAATTATTATCCAGCCACAAAAGTTAATAATGTCAAGGCTGAAAAACAATGCTTGGTGCCTATGGGTAACAGGTTTCTCCAACATTTGGCTGGCAGCTGTGTGCTTTCTTTCCCCACTTCTCTACTCAGGCAGCAACAGCACTGAAGCCAGGAGCCCCAGGCAAGGTGGCTACTCCCTAAACCATCTCCAAAGCCCACATGCATATTCTCGGGCAACCAGCCCCTTGACCTTTGTTTCACACAGCAGCCTGGTACTATCCTGCCCAAAGCCATAGAGAGAAGTGTTCTAGATTGCTGCACAGGGAGCAACTTCCAATTCTAGCAGTACCTAAAGTGAGTCAACGTCCTCTGTACTCACCTACTAGACTAGACTCACCTGCACCAGTGCTCTGATTCCCTCTGCATGCCCTCCTGCTAGTCCTGCTGACACCGTGATTGTGCATCAGCTTTGGCTCAGGCAACCCAGCAAATTTCTCTGCCATCCAACGGATTAGAACCATACCTTCCATAAGGTCTAAACCCTCGTTTCAATTTTGACAAGATTTTTGTCTAGAAATCTTTCCCACTTTAGACTGACTTCCTGCATCAAGCCTTCCTTGAGCACTCAAGTAAAAGAAATTGCCTCTTCCTCTAAACTCACAGCATCTGTCTTTATCATAAGGTGGCAGTAGCAAAGGCAGTCAACTAAATTCTACCTGGTGAAACTTGTTACTCATGGCAAGCCACACTTTCCCACAGCACCACAGTTAAGAAAGTCACTGCAATCACCACCAGTCCCTCACCAGACTGAACATCTTAAGACAAATGTAGCGCTGGCTAAGATGTAGTGAAACGAGAAATTCCACACATTGATGGTAATAATGGAAATGGTCTTTGGAAAGCAATTTGATAGCATGGATCAATATCCATAAAATGCAAACTTTGATTCAGTCATTTTGGGGAATCAATTCTAAAAAAACCCAAACTATATTTTTTAAGACTGATGCATGATTGCTATTCTTAACAGTAAAAATGGTCATTAATAGATGAATGGTTCAATAAATTATGATACTCCATTATACAGACTCTAAAAAGTACATATATGACATTAGAGAATTATTAAGTAAACTGTAGTCAAATATAATGATTAAATATTATGTTCTAACAAAATTGCTCTGCTAAGTTGGTTATAATGTATGCATTTACTTGCTAACATTTCTAAAATTTCACTGTCAGTTTAGTAGTTTAGGGAGAGAGAAGAAATAAACATATATAATCTAACCTCCATGTATAACCAAAAATCCAAACCAATTTTCTGAAATAATAATACTTGGGGAAAAAAAAATCCTCAATTAAAAAGTAGGGATTCCTCTCTATTCAAAATATACTGACTGACTTAAATAAAAGTATCGCTTCATCTTTCCTTAGCTCCCCAAAGTAACGGAATCATTTTTAAGTTCACTAATAAATGTCACTGGAGCCAGTCTCCAAAACTATCACAAAACACAGTATATTTATAAAAGTTCTGACATTTATAATGTGTTAGAAACAATATTAGATTTAGCTGTTAAACATAATATTAAATTAGAGCACTGATTGAGAAGACACTGGCCAAACAATACTTTCACCAGAAGAGAATCGAAAGTTATTAAGTATAAATTAAATATATTCAACTCATAAATACTCAGCTTCAAGTAAATGATATCTTGGGAGTTTGATTTAGCCCCCAAATTAATAAGAATTTAAGTAGATATAAAATTCAAACAACGACTATAAAAATTGGGAAACAAAAAAGTAACTGCAACTCTAACACCTCAAATAAGATACAACTGGGAAACATGAAGCAAACATAAGCATTTATAAAGCATCTTTTATTTAACTTCACTCTTATATTTCTGAATCCCACACAGACATGTAAAAGAAATAACGGAAAATTTGAGGTATGAGAATTCAAATTCTTCCTTACTAAAAATACAAGGTAATTCAGTTCTGCAAATAAGTGTCAGACCACAAAAGGTAATGTGTTGTAATTATATATTGTTAACAGCTAATGGCCCCGCCTTCAGTCTTAGCCTATAAGCAATCTTAATAACATCAATTTTGACAAGCAGCAATAGTTACGCTGGATAAAAACCAAGTGTGGATACAATTTGTGCAAGTCTATTTTCCTATTTTTATTTGCTTATTTTAATGGACCTCTAGTTTTATTTAGGAAGAGATTCTTCTCCAATTAAATCTTATAAGAACCTAAGCAATATCTAAAAGAGAAAAGAAGCATTTGACCAGTATAAGTTTTAGAGGTTCAAATTTATATTTATTGTAAATTATTTTATTATAATATTTAATAATATAAATATATTATAAAGTCATTGGCTGGTTTATTTATAACATATGTTTATACTGTCATAGACTTTAATATGTAAAATATTATATATTTATTTAGAATATTTACCATCAAGTCTGACAATGAGAACAATTAGGCTGTAACTAATGAACAAAAATATGTGAATATGGAGTTATACATACATCTTATTCATCCTCAGCATCCAAATCATATCTGCATTTTATTTTGGCTACTTGCTTTATTCACGTAAGAACTGCAAATGGCTTTTTGAAAAGCCTGTGCCGCAATGTCCAGACAGTCTTTATTAAACTACATTAAAATTGAAAAAGAGGTAAATAAGACAGTTTCTTTCAAAGTTAAAGGACTAACAATATCTAATAACTTGTATTATTAAACACATATATAAGGTGGATAAGAAGCTTCTAAACTTCCTCAAATTCCAAAAACTTTATGCATAATTATCAAATGTGGACAACTTTGTGAACTGTGTTATTGTCCCACAATGACACACAGCAGAGCATACACTTTGGGTAATGACTGACAATTAGTGCCATTCCTGAGCATATTAAACCTACTTGTAAAATATTTGTAAAATTTTGGTGACTAGACAAGTACAGATTTGATTTTTAGAGGCCCAGGGCGGAGATACAAAACTTGTAACTGATATATATCCAAACCATATAAGAAGAACAAATATATAAATATGTATGTGTGTGTGTGTGTGTGTGTGTGTGTGTGTGTATATATATATATATATATATATAAATGTCAACAGAGCTTTATATCAAGTCATTTAAAAAAATAGTCTAGCAGCAAACATTAACATGCTAGTGACCTGTATATAATAAATGTTTAGTATATTACACGGTGAGTCTGGAAGTGGTCTTTGAGGTTTTTTGTTTTGTTTTGTTTAAAACATGTCAGAATTAAGTCTAAATTTACTTTAGCAATGACAGATCAGCTTGTTTCCAAATAAACCTCCACTGAGAATTAGAAAGGTCAGATAAATTTTTTTAATCTGTTAAAAAAATCAGTAACCACTAAAAGAATTTCACAAG